AAGTATAAATCGAAAATATTAAAAATATTTTTTCACAGTATATATAATATATAATAATATAATTAAGTCAAAAACTATTCAATATTGGACTCATTTCGAAGGTATTAACGAGACGATTATAATGGTGTAACTTGCTAAAATAAAAATGTATTTTTTAAACATGTTTTAATTGATATACGATTATGTATGTTAATTTGGTGAAAGTTTAAAATGAAACATTTAAAAGTAAAAGACGTAAAGTAAATTAATTAATTAATTATAGGGGTATAAAATGTAAATTTAAAATTATAATTTTAAAAAAATCGATTGTGAGAAGGTGAGTGTATGTGAGGGGGTGAGTGTATGTGAGGAGATGAGGGGGTGAAAAGGTGAAAAAGTGACCTAAAGATAGTATAAAGGGTATTTTGGTCCCTTAGTATTTTAAGACTTTAAAACTTTTGTTAAATTTGCTTAATAAGATAGTATAAAAATTAATTTAAATTATTATTTAATTAATATATTAATTTGTTATAGAATACTCATTAGTTAATTATATCCTAAAAAGGTGTATATGCAATTATTTAATTCAAATGATGGATTTTAAGCCTTGTATTTTAGTTAAATATTATTGAGATGTTTTAACGTGGGAAAAATGATTCCTTTGGTGATTAAAAGGATAAACGATGTTAAGAGTAGTTATCGAGTGTGGTACCGAAAGTTTTTTTTTAAATTGTTTCGATGATTTAAGAACGAGATTAAAACATTGTATTTTGAGTTAAGCATTTATCGGGATGCTTTAATTTAAAGAGATGAAATTATAAGATATTAAAACGTCTTTTTTAGGATGCAATCGAGTTTTAGACTTGGGGTTTGACTAAAGTTAGTCGGGGTTGACCGAGTTGACCAATGGTTGACTTTTGACACGTTTGACCTATGTGGATTTTAATGATAGGTCAAATAGAGTTGTCTGAGGCATATTAAAATGCTTGTATATGAAGTTTGTTAGGTCAGGTCGGATTGACCATAATTGACCTTTGTTGACTTTTGGAGAAATTAAGTCATTAATGAAATATTATGGTATGAAATGTGTAAGTATTTGGTCAAGAGCTATCAGTAGTCTATCTACTCGTAATCAAGTGAGTCTTCATGAGACTTATAATGAGACTATCTACCCGCAATCAAGTGAGTCTTCATGAGACTTATAATGAGATGCATACCTATGTATAAATTTATTTTCGAGCATTATATGATTTTTATGGTGATGTGCACGTATACATGATATTTCAGTTTACATACGTGATAGAATATATTTTACATGTATGTTATTTTATGATTAGTTGCATGATATGTGTTTATTTTGTTTTCAAATAACTCTAACATGCTATTTCATATGAAAGTTTTATGATCAGTTTTTAATGGGTGGACATTTGACCATTAAGTCATACTACAAGTGACATGATCCCATAATGGATGTACAGACAGGTACAAGTCAGACAAATCAAGGAATGCCAGTGACTAAATGACTCATACCCGACAGACATTTTATGATATCTCTTTTCCTCCAGTGTTGCATGTTTTTCAAAAAATGCATAATATTTGGTACAGAGTTTACAAGTTGATGTGTATAATGTGAAATGATTTTTATTCACACAAACCATGAATTTACTGAACTTTATAAGTTGACTATAATATGCATCTCAGGGAAGAAGGTTTCTGGTTGGACTTAGGAAAAAGGGCAAATGCAGAGACTTGACTAGACCATTTAAGTTTAATATTTATGTGTAATCATCTATGATATAAATTTGTAAAGTAATCCGGTATGTGACGGGCTGACATTAAGTTATATATTTATTATTTTAAAGTCTTCTGTTATGAACGGTCTAAAGTTTTAATTTAGTCATCATTTTGGAGTGTGTTTTTGGAAAATCTGTTTTAAATTACATAACATTTCTCATGGTAAAATGTGAATGTTAAACTTTTCTTATTTTTAGTAGTTCAAATGTAAAATAACTTTAGGATCTTATAATATTAATTGAGGTGTAAGTAAGTTAATTTGGACATTTATGATTATAATTTTTTTTTTTGGTTTTATTTGTATTTTTTTTTTATAAAACTATGGGTTTTCAGACCAGTTGAAGTGCACCGACTAATTCCTTAGCCGATACAACTGACATAGAGTCATCACAAGTGAACCTCCATGGCCATAAGGGCTTTGACACAAATAAATACAATACTAAAATAAATATTGTTACTTCGATCTTTTTCAATGAAATCATCACGCAATAAATCAACAAACTCCAAAGTGATCTCTCTTTCCCTTCATATATATATATATATATATATATATATATATATATATATATATATTTGGGTTCAAGTGAGAACAATCACGGTAAAAAAAACACGAAAACACATATATAACATGTGATAATATAATCAATCACATATGATTAAGGAACATGGTCAAACA